ATGGAGGTAGAAAAAGCCATTCTGAGAACCTCTTTACAGCCACCAGTAAGACATACTTATTTCCTTGCTTGCACATTGACGGATCTGCTTTCACATGTTACTGTTTATCGCAGTGGGTTTATGGCACCAGTTCGCCATCACTGATGAGCAGATCTCCCATCATGTAGCATTTGCTAATGGAAGTTGGACGGCTTTTCTCCAGTGCAAATAGCTTTCGGGTTGTTAGGAGAAGCAGTGGGATGCAAAGTTCATTTTCCTCTCTCATATTTTCAAAGCAAGATTAGGTTTTATGTCTCAGCATCGTTATTACTTTGGGGGTTGGGGTTGGCAGCTCCTTTATAATTGCTCCTGTTAGCTACTGCCCATTACCTTAAACTTCCAACAAGCCTTCTGGGTTGCAGCACTTAGGAGTCATGGCTTGACACAGGAAAGTTTGGATAATCTTCTTCTCCATCTTTCTTTTGTATTAGGCTTGCATTGTACCCAACTGGCATCTACTTTGATACAAAGGGAAGTATCTCATTGAGCTCTATGGCGGCTTCATACTTTGTTGTTTTGCGTGTACAGTGGTACCTCGGGTTAAGAACTCAATTCGTTCTGGAGGTCCGTTCTTAACCTGAAACTGTTCTTAACCTGAGGTACCACTTTAGCTAATGGGGCCTCCCGTTGCCGCAGCGCAATTTCTGTTCTCATCCTGAAGCAAAGTTCTTAACCCGAGGTACTATTTCTGGGTTAGCGGAGTCTGTAAACTGAAGCGTCTGTAACCCGAGGCACCACTGTATTTTGACTCACTGCAACCTCCTTGTGGTGATCCAGTAACAGAGCGGTGACAAATCTTTTTAGGTTTGTGGGCGCATCTGGATTTTTGAGTGTCATCTGGAAGCCACCCCTTCTGGTAACTTCCCTCCCCTCTTCCCTGGATCAGAACCACCCCAAAAGAGACAGAAATGAGAAAGTGTGTGCACACATACTTTACACAAATGCTTTAGCACACATGCTAAGAGACATGGATAAAGCTCCAGTAAAATTAATCTGAGCCTTGAAAAGCACATAGAGTTGAGACAGAAAGCGGGAAAGAGTGCTCTTTTAACTTCTTCCTTAGCTCTGCGCACTTTTCAAAGGAGAAAAAGGTAACCGAATGTAGCCCGACACAACCAAGGAGGCAGTAGGGGGACTCAGAAGTTTTGTGGGCACTAGAGAGTGCCTGAAGGGTGCATACTCTCCAACATTTCTCTGATAAAAATAGGGACGTCCCATTCCATAATGATAATTTTACTGTTTAGACCCCACACATCTTACTGGGTTTCCCCAGCCAATCTGGGCAGCTTCCAGCATATATAAAAACACAATAAAACATTAAACTTTTTTTTTTTAAAAAAACCTTCCCTATACAGAATTGCCTTTAGACAGCTCGGGGGTCCGATAACTCCATACCTTCCAACATTTCTCTAATAAAAATAGGGACATCCTAAGGAAAAATGGGACATTCCGGGATCAAATCAGAAACTGGGACGGGTTCTTTAAATCAGGGACGTCCCTGGAAAACAGGGACACTTGGAGGGTCTGGGGGTGTCACTATGCTCACAAGCTCTCCATTGGCAGCTTCTGCTATAATACAAAGAAGCATAAACATTCATAAAGATATATGGAATTAGCACTTGCATGAATGACTTTTTAAGAAAAATAGGTGCTGGCCCCATAATCAGGATCTGGACCTTGCTGGGGGTGGGGATAGGGAGGTTTAACCCTTTACCCTCCTGCTATTCTCCCAATTCAGATCCCCTTCCCTCTGTTAGGGTCGTCCTACTCGCGTGTAGGACCCTGGTAGAGACACATGCCCAACTGGCATATTCTCTCCTGGAGCTTCAAAAGCTTTCTCCAGCATGAACATCACGGCGACTGATGCCAAAAGGCACCGGCATGCTTAGGAACAGCAGAGTGCTAGCAGTTCACGTGACAAACTCAGCAGCACAGCATTTTGGCTAATCTACTTTATTTACATATAATACACTTGGAGCATTCTGCCTCAGCTCCTTCCTCTTTCTCGTCAGACAGCAAAGAGAAAGAACAAAGGACAATAGTCCCACATCACGGAACACAGTAATACCAAACATCCTGTCTCCATCACTTCCCACACTGTGGAATGAAAACAGACACCGTCATGTGATATAAAACAATCCCATGACTGCAAGAATCCCACGGAGCAAGAATCCTAACACCTTCACCCGCTACTTGCATTAGACCAGGGACAGAAGATGGGATTCATATTAGGGATGTAAATGGTTAGCAGTTGAACTCTGCTGCTGTCTCAGTCCCCGTGCCTTCCTCCTTTTCTTCCAAAGCACCCTGCCACTTCTTCTGCTGCCTTTTGGTACTGTGTGCCGTTCCATTAATTTCTTCTGCCTGGCAGCACTGATTCCTGTGCTGGAGAGGTGAGAAATGGACATTTCCATGTAACACTCTTCTAAAGACGGCCGAGGATTCTTTTCTCCCCCCTCCCTCCATACGAAAGAACAGAAGGTCAAAACATCTCAGGATGTAGAAATTTCACAGCTTTGGGGAATTGAGAAGAATAGTAAGTGGTGGCAGCCTGAGGAACAATTCACATTTAACTTTCGAAAGCCGGGTGCAAAGAAAGAGCAACAAACCTTGTACCGCCTTCGCAGTAGTGCTTTGTCTTAACTGAGCGGAGACCTTGTCAGCATTTCTGCTTCTCCATAGACAGAAAAACAGGTCTGACCTCAAAGTAGGCATTCAGCCCTGTTTCCATGATGAGCCAGAGGCTCTTGACCAAAATTTGCTTCCATTTGACAGCTTCTCAGGGTGGTGACCTTCATCATCATGCATGCAGACCTGTAATAAATAATAATAATAATAATAATAATATAATATTTATTTATTTATTTATACCCCACCCATCTGGCTGGGTTTCCCCAGCCAGCCTGGGCAGCTCCCAACAGAATATTAATACTACTAATAAAAAAGCGACAAAACATCAAACATTAAAAACTTCCCTAAACAGGGCTGCCTTCAGATGCCTTCTAAAAGTCAGGTAGTTGTTTATTTCCTTGACATCTGATGGGAGGGCGTTCTACAAGGTAGGCTCCACTGCTGAGAAGGTCCTCTGCCTGGTTTCCTGTAACTTCGCTTCTCACAGGGAGGGAACCGCCAGAAGGCCCTCGGAGCTGGACCTCAGTGTCCAAGCTGAATGATGGGGGTGTAAAATGCAGTGTGATTTATGGTTGGTTTCAATTGTTGACAGCCACCCTGAGTTGTATGCAGGCACCCAAAGGGCAGGATATAATTATTATTCACATATACAGAGCAGTCTTACCCATAGGCGCTAGGGGTGCGGGGCACCCGGGCGCCAGGCTCTCAGGGGCTCCAGGCCAAGAGTTGAGTCCGGGGAAGAGTCTGTCAGTGTTTGTAAAAAAAAAAAAAAAGGTTCCAACCTCCCTTTGTTGCCTCAGCTTGGTCCTCGGACCCTTGTCAGCATAAAAGAGTCCACGAGAAAAGTATCCTTGCAGAGTACTTTCTGCTTTTATTCTTAAAAGTCTTTCTGCAAAAGCGACTGACCAACTGTATACACATCAACACTACCAGCTTTCACTAACCAACCAACCAACCCAACAACAAACTGAGCTGATCTTTGCACCCCGGCACCGCATATGCTTAAGACAGCCCTGTACATATATAATGAGTTCAATCCGTCTAAGATACTCAGAGCTAACCCACTGCAATCAGTGTACGACGTGATGAACTTAAGTCCCTGATTTCAGTGGCTAAACTCTTACTAGGTTTGCATCTGGTTCAACGCAACTGAATTATTTCCATCGGAAGTGCCGCAGTTATTCCAGCTATCATCATTCTGCTTCTCCTTTTTCCTCTGCGCACGGTTTGCTCAGACTGTAGCCGCAGGAACATGAGAACTGCTGCAATTTGAAGATCTTATCTGATGCGAGACGAATAAAGAGAAAGAAACCAGGTGTTATCGCCATTCCCATGCAGAACGGAGCCGTCTTGATCTGCCGAAATGGACATTGGTATCATCTGCCTTGTTTGATAAGAGCAAAGCCTTCCACAGAGACATTCTCGGAAGGTATCTGAAATATATAGGATCTTCTCCCCCCCCCCCCCCATTGCCACTGACATTTCAAATCTTTTATAATTGTGCTGATAAAAAAAGCACCTTTCAAATATAACCTTCAATCAGATTCTGGCTTTATGGTGGAAACCTCATTGTAGCATTTCAATAACCAAAAAAAGGAGGCAGCGACTCCCGGTCACCAGTTTAGCTGCCGCATTCTGGATGAGTTGTAGTTTCCGAGTCACTGGAAAGCAAGCTCTGGCAAATATTTTACGGCAAAATTATACAGTGAGCATATGGCAGTACAGTGCTTAATTACTTTCTTACCTCCAAAAGGTCACATTGTCAGGAGAGAAAGAAAGAGAAAAACACACACACCAAAAAACACAATAGTCTTCGGAGATATCTATGAGGTTTTGCAGCTGTGCTGAAGTTACACTGGGGTGCTTTGTTATTTAAATGCTAATCTTCAGACACTTAGTGCAAGTTATTATTAACTCTAATTGTGTATTTTCAAAATAGTGAGGCGCTAAGTCTCTCTGCTAGTTAGTGGAATTAATGGGATCAGATGGACACCTACATTATCCCAAGAACACCAGCAATCAAGTTAAAAAGAGAAAGCTTTATTCGGCCACCTATATTTCCCAAACTTGTTTTAAATAATTGGCTAGGGACTTCTGGCCCCCGCAAATGGGTGAGGGGATGAAGCTCATCTCATGGGTTCTGCTTCTCCTTTTTATGTCCCCTACGTCAAGTCAATGTATAAAATATCTCTTTCTCTGAATATGGCTTTGGGCCATGGGTAGGCAAACTAAGGCCTGGGGGCCGGATCAGGCCCAATCGCCTTCTAAATCCGGCCCGCGGGCGGTCCGGGAATCAGCGTGTTTTTACATGAGTAGAATGTGTGCTTTTAGGATGTGAGGGCGATCTGGCTGCGACATCTGTCACCCCATTGATCGCCAGGGTTGATTCGGCTGATCTGGCTGGCTAGGCGGGTGTCCCCTTCCTCCCTCACCGCTCCATGTGCGTCCCTCCCGAAGCTGCGCGCTCGGTGGAAGAGGACGACCATCCCAGAGAGAAGGAGTGTACCGTTCTTCGGTCAAGGGTATACGATAGCTGCGCTCCCCTGCTAGAACCTCCAAACAAGCTCAAGAATGTGTGCTTTTATTTAAAATGCATCTCTGGGTTATTTGTGGGGCATAAGAATTCATTCTTTTTTTAAAAAAATATAGTCCAGCCCCCCACAAGGTCTGAGGGACAGTGGACTGGCCCCCTGCTGAAAAAGTTTGCTGACCCCTGCTTTAGGCAGATATTCAAACATAGAGGGCCTTGGTAAATGTTAAATGGCGGCTTTGGACGTAAGTGTGATTATTCTAAAATTCTGTGAAAGGCCTCCTAAAGGTACCTAAAGAGTAGGATTTGACCCAGGTGTGTGTGTGTGGGCAATCCTACAGCAAGGATGAGCAACCTAGGATCCAGCTGCTACCGTATTGGCCCAAATATAAGCCACACCCAGATATGAGCCACACCTTTAAATTCCAAGGCGGGAAAAGAAAAAAGGACAATACCCGAATATAAACCGCTTGCTTAAAATTCCGCAGGCACTCACACCCGTTCCATTTTACCATACAGTGGTACTTCTGGTTACAAACTTAATTCGTTCCAGAGGTCTGTTCTTAAGCCGAAACTGTTCTTAACACGAGGTGCGCTTTCGCTAATGGGGCCTCCTGCTGCTGCTGCGCCGCCGGCACACAACTTCCGCTCGCGTCCCAGGGCAAAGTTTGCAACTAGGGGCATATACTTCCAGTTTAGCGGAGAAGAAGGAGAAGAAGAAGAGTTTGGATTTGATATCCCGCTTTACCACTACCCGAAGGAGTCTCAAAGCGGCTAACAATCTCCATTGCCTTCCTCCCCCACAACAAACACTCTGTGAGGTGAGCGAGGCTGAGAGACTTCAGAGAAGTGTGACTGGCCCAAGGTCACCCAGCAGCTGCATGTGGAGGAGCGGGGACGCGAACCCGGTTCACCAGATTACGAGTCCACCGCTCTTAACCACTACACCACACCGGCTCATTACCCAAAGCATTCGTAAGGAGGACGGTACGTAACCCGAGGTTCCACTGTATGTTTGTTTCAGCAGCAATATCGTAAAAGCCGATTTTTCTAAGGTCGCGAATTTAAGCCACACTTCAACTTTTCACGGTTGGAATGGGGGGGGGGGTTGAGGCTTATATTCAGGCCAATACGGTATATGGCTCAGCCAGCTGATTCCTGGCTCAGATGATATTAAGGGCTTAGTCACACATCCTCTTGAACCACTGCTCCCCCCCCCCCCGGGCAAATTGCTCGTTAGCACTCAATCAGAGCAAATGACCATTCAGATTTTCTGCTGCTGAATGCTTAGCCTACCCTATCATGCATTACACAAACCATCTTTTCATGTGCAGTTTTGCTTCCTGCACCTCAGAAATTGTGAATGCTGACATGCTTGGCCTTCTCCCAACATGGACATAGCTGGGGGTGGCGGGGAGGGAACAGAGGGGCCAGCTGCCCCCTCCCCAAATCAAGTAAATCAATAAAAATGTTGAACTAAAAGTAGAAATGGTCGAGAGATCTTGAGAAATATTTCTGAGCACTTGGGGTGAAAAGAAAGCAAATTTAAACAACTTTTGTTGAGACATTCCATTCCAAATCTGCTAGACAGAGCTGAAGAGAGGATGACAGACAGATGTCTTGCTCCCCCAACACAAATCCTGGCTACACCCATGTTCCCCAGTCGAGTGCGCTGGAATACAGTTTCCATCGGCCTCAGCCAGCACAGCCATTTAAACATATTAATAAATGAACAAAGCAAGCTTTTTCCTCTGGTCAACTTCAGCCGTTGCAGTTAAAGAGCATTTTACAATGCCATCAGCCATCACAAAGAGTACATGCGCATCCACTTGCACATACTGAATAGTCCATGCGTGCATCTGTGGGAAGCCTCGTAGCTGGAGCTTGTGCAACTCACCTCAAGGAAGAGTCACAAGTCATGTACGCATACATAATATCAGAAGCGTGGATGCAAGCAGGAGTCCAGTGCTCAGAGGAAGACGACATTGATTTCCATGCGGAAGATGTTTGGGCCAAACCACAGTTTCCCCAGGGAGGGCTGGGAAAATGTCCCCTGTCTGAAACATTGGAGCTCCACTGCCGGTCAGTGTAGACAGTAGTGCTGAATGGACACATGGTCTGACTTTGTATCTTGAGACAACTTTCTCTGTTTTCAACACTCTAAACATCTTGCGGATGAAGGTGACCCGGAAACTACAACCAATCCAGAATGCAGGAGCTGGACTGGTGACTGGGAGTGGCTGCCGAGACTATATAAGACTGGCGCTGAAAGACCTTCATTGGCTCCCAGCAAGTTTCCGAACACAATTCAAAGTGTTGGTGCTGACCTTTATAGCCCTAAACAGCCTCGGCCCAGTATACCTGAAGGAGCGTCTCTACCCCCATCGTTCAGCCCAGACACTGAGGTCCAGTGCCGAGGGCCTTCTGGTGGTTCCCTCACTGTGAGAAGTGAGGTTACAAGGAACAAGGCAGAGGGCCTTCTCAGTGGTGGCGCCTGCCCTGTGGAACGCCCTCCCATCAGATGTTGAGGAAATAAACAACTATCTGACTTTTAGAAGACATCTGAAGACAGCCCTGTTTAGGGAAGTTTCTAATGTTTGATGTTTTATCGTGTTTTTAATACGGTGGTACCTCGGGTTACATACGCTTCAGGTTACAGACTCTGCTAACCCAGAAATAGTACCTCGGGTTAAGAACTTTGCTTCAGGATGAGAACAGAAATCGTGCTCCGGCGGCGCAGTGGCAGCGGGAGGCCCCATTAGCTAAAGTGGTGCTTCGGGTTAAGAACAGTTTCAGGTTAAGAATGGACATCCAGAATGAATTAAGTTCTTAACCCGAGGTACCACTGTATTCTGTTGGGAGCTGCCCAGAGTGACTGGGGAAACCCAGCAGATGAGTGGGGTATAAATAAATAAATAAATAATATTAATTACAGAGCATACCAGTCCTTTCCTTTCTGCCCTTCCAACAGCAAGACTTTATGAATTTACGGGACACATGCCACCCACAGGTGTCCCAGACTGGTTGGATGCAAAGGAATGGTGGGAGGAACTGGCTGAGGAACCACCAAGGGAAGAAGGCTCAGAGCCTGGGGAGAGGTGGTGGGACCACAATGAATGGTCACCGGGGGGCGGGGAGAGGGAGAAGACTGGGAAGAGGAAGTGTTGGAAGCTGAAGAGCTAACAGGGCTCAGTGAGCTGGGAGAGTCTGTGGCAGAGAGAAGTCTAGAATCAAAAGCAGAAGCTGAATCAGGAGAGTGGACTGAGGGCAGCCAAGAGGCAGAGATGAGTGTGGCTGATGAACAGTCATGGGTGTTTTCCCCGCCTGCTACAACAAGCTCTCCTCCTCCCCTGACTCCCAGAACCAGGAGAGGGCTGAAAAGGGCAGAGCAGAGACAGGCTGCATGCAGGCGCAGTCTCCAGTTGCTGGATCAGGCTGGGCACCTCTTGAATTCTCTTTTCCTTCAATTCCTTTAGCATGCATATGTGTGTGTGTGTGTGTGTGTGTGTGTGTGTGTGTGTTTTAAAATGTCACGGCTTTCATTTCAGTTGACTAGAAAACACGCAAGGTGGAAAACAGCCACGGTTTGCTGGCTGTCTAAATCTTGTAGATAATTGGTACGAGAAACTGTTCCTTCCACGGCTACAAATGAAAAATGCCATAAGTCAGTGGCAGACATTGGAGTTACTAGCGCTGCAGGCAAATTCATCATGTGCAACTTGTTTCTATAGGGAGCTGACCTGCTGCACAGAATAGAGAATTAAATTACTTGGACTCTTGCCTTTTCTCATTTCAAAACGCAGTTTGTTCGCTCCCTCGTGTAGCGCACGCACAGCCGTCCGATTTCACAGCTTTTTAAACAGCATCTGAATTGGGGGAGGGGGAAATCTTCTCATAAATGTTTCTTGCAAAGCTGATAAATGGCGCAGCTCCGAAGATTTTATTTTATTTTATTTTAAAAAAGATTCTTAAAATAGGGCATGCTATTCCCTCCCAATGCAAATGTCACTGCTCAAATCCCCAGTTCAGCTGCTAACTCCCTTGCATGTTGCCAGCTGACTCCCAACCTGCCTGTCATCATCTCTCACAAAATCCAGACATGAGCATTCATTATCCTGATTCACATTCCGGCTGCCTCTTTGGCGCTGGTGCAAAAATAAAGTAAAATAATGCCTTCATCATTTGTAGCTTTGGGAGAAGAAGATAAGGTTTGTGTGTGTGTGTGAGAGAGAGAGAGAGAGAGAGAGAGCGAGCGCATTGATTTGTTTTTTACTCAGTAATGTCTTTCTTTTAGGAACACTTCAGACCTCACTCTTCACAATTTTCTTTATTTTTCATTCCTTGCCATTTCTCAACAAACCCAAGAATGGTCCATAGGACCAAGTTGTAAGTTACTTTTTTTAACTGGGCAACTTCATTCTGGACCGGTGCACATGGGGAATCTGTACCCCATTCCCAGTTGCAATTCTGATCAAAATCCACCAATCCCTTCAGGATCACAGACAGGGGTCCATTTGACATCTATCTATCTATCTATCTATCTATCTATCTATCTAGGGACGTGGGTTGAAGAAGTGTGCACACGAAAGCTCATACCAATAACAAACTTAGTTGGGTGGCGCTGTGGGTTAAACCACAGAGCCTAGGACTTGCCAATCAGAAGGTCAGCGGTTCGAATCCCCGTGACGGGGTGAGCTCCCGTTGCTCGGTCCCTGCTCCTGCCAACCTAGCAGTTTGAAAGCATGTCAAAGTGCAAGTAGATAAATAGGTACTGCTCCGGCGGGAAGGTAAACGGCGTTTCGGTGCGCTGCTCTGGTTCGCCAGAAGCGGCTTAGTCATGCTGGCCACATGACCCGGAAGCTGTACGCCGGCTCCCTTGGCCAATAAAGCAAGATGAACACCGCAACCCCAGAGTCGGTCACGACTGGACCTAATGATCAGGGGTCCCTCTATCTATCTATCTATCTATCTATCTATCTATCTATCTATCGAATTTATATACCGCCCTATACCTGGAGGTCTCAGGGCAGTTCACAGAACAAAATCAAAATATAAAACCCACAAAATATATAATCAAAATATAAACTACAACCCAGTAAACACCCCCTCCCCATTTT